TAGTGGTAAATTCATTTGTTGCATGTGGTCACAAGGTTTATAAGAACACTCAGAGCCCAGCAATTCTTCCAGTTCTTCCTGAGCAATTTTCCACTAGTTAGGAGTCAGGAAAGAGGAACCATGAGAGCTGAGGAGCTGTGTTTTCATTAATTGTGAAATACACAAATATTGGCCTATTTCCTTGCGATCATAAAATTTGCAACATAATATTACAGACATTTTTGCATATTACTAAAGTTCTTTGAAAAGCGTATTATTTGATGATTTCTATTGGATCCACTATTCACACTATAATCACATATTGCTGGGAGTTTAAGCTGTTTCTACTTTTGTAATAGTGTAACACCACAGTATTACGTTGTGAAGTGTGGTCTTCATCTCCGGTTGTTTCCTTGGAAAGATTACCAAGGGTTTGCTCTGTCAAAGGAAATGACCTTTTTAAAGCCTTGTCAAATTTCTTTCCAGAAAGGCTCTCATGAGCAGCTTAAGGTTATGTACTTTTCAGACGTAAAAAATGTGTTCATTAGGTAGAATGTGTATAGAGACACTTTGGGAATAATAGAATCTTTTCTGAAAAGCAGCGCTACTCCTTAGTATCAGAGGTGCCTTTTATCTGAGGATATCAAAGCACTTCTTTTTGAAGAAGGTTTTTCTTGTGCTGAGATATATGGAAAGATTTACAAGTGTATAGCAAACAGAATACCGTCAGGCACTTCTCCAGACCAGTAGCCACACCAGAAGAAGAGCAGACTCTGCTCAGTCAATGTCAGGGATGCACCTGCACCCTAGTCCCTTTCTCAGTAACTAATTCAATGTGAGAAAGTCCCACCTGCCTTTGATTATTGGCTCTGCTGGTGGGTCCCCCATAACTAGCTTTTCTAAGCTGGATCAATGATGCTCACTTCTATGTGCAGATGCTTTTCACAAGCTGTGATTGTAGAAGGGCAGCGAGGGATCAGGTTCTTACCAATACCTGTGAAATGCAATTAGATTTTAGTCTGTGAGGCATATTCAGATTGAGCCACCTGACTCTACCCACATCAGAGATGAGAGCCTCTGGTCAGGACCCAGGTGGTAGCCAATCACTGCATCACTTGCCTGGCAGCCTCATTTAAGGGTTGTCCCTATCAAGCTATCAAGGCACCTCTTGGTACTTAACCCAGCACTTGGATTGGATGTTTATTTTTTATTTTTATTTTTCAGAGAAGGGGTATTGCTTTGTTGCCTGGGCTGGAGTGCAGTGGTGTGATCATAGTTTACTGTAACCTCAAACTCCTGGCTCAAACTGTCCTTGCGCCTCAGCCAACCAAGTAGCTGGGACTACAGTGTGCACCACTATGCCAGGCTAATTAAAACTTTTTTTTTTTTTTTTTTTGTGGAGACAAGGGCTCACAATATAGTTCAGGCTGGTCTCAAACTCCTGGCCTCAAGTGATCCTTCCACCTTGGCCTCCCAAAGTGCTGAGATTATGAGTGTGGGCCCCCACACTTGATTTAGATGGGATGTTTAACCCATGGATTTGTAAAGAGAAATCACCATGGCTAACATTCACTGAGTTCTTACTAGTTAGCATGCATTGTGCTCCACATACATTATCTCATTTAATCCTGCATAACCACACGAGGTGGGTACTGTTATTAACCTCATTTTATCTATGAGAAGACTGAGACCCAGAGACGTTAAATAACTTGCCCAATATTTCATAGTTAGTAAGCAATGGAGTCCAGTTAGATTCACCAGGACTGGCTACATAATTTGTGACACCCACTACAAATTGAAGTTGGGTCCCTTGCTAAAACATCAAAATGGTAAGCTTAGAGCACTAATGCAAGCCCTGGATCCATCTAAGTGTGGGCCCCATGGGACTGCACAGGGTGCACATCCACAAAGCAGCCCTGCCTGCGCAGACAGACTGGTGACCATAATAAGAAGCACACTCTCAACTAAACAAGTAGGGCTGCACAACACACAGTTGGGCAAAGATTTGACTGTAGCACGTAAACAGCAAATGGAAGCCTTTGTGTGCGCTCCTCAGGCACAACTCCTCTTTCAATGCCAGCTTTCTCTTCATGAAAAACATGGAACATTTTTCTAGCCAGAGGTGAACAGATCTGAGCTCATCGTGGTACTGTGCATTCATTACAGCCTCTCCTTGGCTGTTTGCCCTTGTGGAGCTGGTTGTCTTCTGCTGAAAGTCACCACCTGGTGCTGTGGGTGCCATGGGAGGACAGTGAAGTTTCTGGAGGGAAAATAGGAATCAACCGTCTGTTTTCTCTGGGACTGAGTTTTCCTGGAGACATATTGCTCAGAAACAATTCCTTCCCACAGTAAAGCACAAGGCAAACTGGTAATTGCTAACACTAGGTGCTTAGTTTGCACTATATTTCACAGGTATTTAATCTTCACATGTAATTCTTGCTTTGCATGTAACTGATTTAATCTTTAATAGCTATAGGTAGGCACTTTAATAGCCTTGTCTTTTAGATGAAGAAAGTGAGGGAGAGAGATTAAGAATGTGCCTACGACCTGAGAGTTAGTAAACAGAAGAATCAGAACAGAAATCTGTGTAGTCTCTAGTTCTAGAGCCTACAGACAACTGTCGCACCTTACTTCAAAGTTTTACCCAAGCATTCTGGAAGGATGGGCAGGGCAGTCAGACAGGCGGGATGTAACTCAATCCCCAGATCCAGAAATGTGGTCTTCCCACTGCCTCAGAGCAAAGCTCCAAAGTGTAAGTGCTGGAATTTTCCCAGAGTGACAGGGTTGAGGGTCAAACAGTCTCTCCTTATAGTTCACCAAAGGCATGGAGCACAAAAACACTCGCACACGCACCCATGCATGAGATACGGCATCACTCAAGCATGATGACTTTCTATCCACTCGGCAGTGCGTCACCAAAGAAAGATGACTGTGAATATATTTAAAGGCTTGTTTGAGTATTGAATCACTCATGCTCTTACCCAAGAACTTAGCTTTAATTTTATTTTTGTGTTCTAGTCAACAAAACACTGAACAAATAAGGAACCAATTGTGATAATAATAACAATAATAATAATAATACTTTGCATTGGTAAAGTATTTTACAGTCCATTGATTTTTCCCCCCTGCATTTCCTTGAGTACCTCTGACGCTAGGATTTGTAGAGGTTAAGTGGGCCTAAAGAGAACCAGGTAGTGTGAGGTGGAATTGGATCGGATCTTTCATCTCCTCACTTCTCCCTGACGCTCCATGGTAAGCCACAGCGTCTTACCCGGGAGGTGGGGGTTGCCATCTCTGAAAGCTGGAGGAAGGGGGTGTAGCCCTTGTCAGGATTAATGAGATGCCTATTCATCCAGTTCCAAGCCTCCATTTGTTTGCCTATGTCTGCAATATATTTCTTTCTGAGACACTTGGACAACCTACATTCCCTGAAGTTAGGCTATTGTGAGACAGTCAAGCTGGGATCTTCAGTGTTTTCACAAGTTACTTGGAAGTTTCCAAGAGTCACCATAAACCTGCGTGAAGTGAAACTGTAGAGGCTCATTTGTTTCCTTTTCAATAGGGCTAGCTTAATGTCAGCTCGACCATTCTAGAGGAGAATGCCTGGAAAAATGATTTTGCCCAAGTTCCTGAAAATACCTGAGAAAAGTTCTGAGAGCTTTTTTGGATATTTAAATCAAAATCCTGGTGAATAAAAGAAGTTCAAGATGAGGAAGCCTAGCCTGAACACTCGTTTTAGAAATGGAAGCTGTCGTTTAGATTATTATAAGAGGTTTGAATGATTCAGAACAGAAGATTGCCAAGGAAAGTATCCAGGTGACTCATTCCTGAAGGCAGAAAGCAACCGTGAGTTCTGTAGGCTTGTGGGTGGCTGAATGATGGACTAACCATCAACATTATTTTTTATTATGTTGCTTTCCCAACCTATCAATAACCATGGACCCAATAACTCGCTCATTGAATGGATTCAGAAACAGGCCCCACATAAGTTACCCAGATTTGGGAGAATGGTTAGATTACTGTCTAGATACTTTTTTAACATAAGATTGTAATATCAATTGCCACAAAATGAATATTAATTAATTTAGACTTTCATCTCCATATAAAGTGTGCTAATGCTATAGGCCTTTTTCTTCCAGCAATACTTTCTTTAGCCTCATCCATATAGGGTAAGCCCAGTACTCATTGTACGTAAGTTACTTATGTAATTGCAGTACTCTTAAGAATGCAGATGTGGGTATATTCAAAGCACTATTTGAAATACGTATTAGTAGACTGGACTATAAAAAGATTCTCTTGTATTTAAACATCCATCAATAAACTTTTAGCACCTTATTACCCTCAATGCAAGAGGTGGTTGGGAGGAGAGGCAGGACTCGGAGATGATGTGGAGTTCCCAGTAAAGAGAAAAAAAGAACCAGATGGGGCTAAACTTCACTGGCAGTGGGGAGAGACAGCACAAAGCCTTCCCTTCCCTATTCTTTCCTGTTTTCAGACTTCCCAGGGTAGGGCTGGACAATTCATGAGTCCTTTCTAACTTTGTACTAGACCACATTTCCTCTTTAATATGGAGTACCCATCACCCTTGAAGACAGCCAGAGTCTGTCCAGGTGGAGCCTATGGGTAAGACTGTGAAAAAGAAGCTCTTGTCAAGTCTAAGAAGTGCAATGGTGATTCCTTCCCACACATTCAGGTCTCACTAAACTAGACATGCCCATGATGCTTGGTGTTTCAGAAAAAGGTGGTATCACCTTTTTCAGAAATGAAAATGAAAATTCCCAGTGACCATGAATTTCCTAAAATGTGTTAATATCCAAGAAACCTTAAAACTGTTTATAAGGGGAGAAGGAAGAGAAGCAACGGAACAATGTTGCGAATTGTATAGGGCCTTTGAAATGAAGTTCTACTCCCTAAAACTGGTAAGGTGGGGGAATGTACAAACTTTTTAAAAAGTCTGTGAGTTCTTTGGTCAGTATGCTAATGTCTCTGCCACTCTCCCTCTTTTTAATATTTCTTACCAGGGTATGGGAATATTGCTCCGAGCACTGAAGGAGGCAAAATCTTTTGTATTTTATATGCCATCTTTGGAATTCCACTCTTTGGTTTCTTATTGGCTGGAATTGGAGACCAACTTGGAACCATCTTTGGGAAAAGCATTGCAAGAGTGGAGAAGGTCTTTCGAGTGAGTACTGCATCACATTTAAATTATAACCGCTGCGATCCAGTTGGCTTTAGCCTGACAGGATCCAGGAGGCAGTAAAGGGGCATTCTCTGCTTTTAATGGAATAATTTTAATGTTATGATTGTATTTTCTGTTTTGGCCAATGGAAGTCAAAGATCTTGCACCTAAACTTCCTTCTTTGAGTAGCTTCCTATTTTAGAGTGGTATTTCTGCAATCACAACACAAGAGGGTTAAGTATGGATTTGCCAACACAGATTTTTTGAAGAGGTGGAACAAGCTCAGTTTCTCCTTAAAGATGAAAGATGGGGTTCCTCATTGTGTTTGTAATGAAGTAGAAAACTGTAAATCCATCCATTTTGTTGTTGGAACTCCCTCACTCCATTTTATTTTCAAGCACAGTGCCTTTAGGCTAATCCTGCTTCTTCCAGACGCCTGACTTCTCCAGACACTGCTCTGTGCTTTGCACCTGTCTCCTAATGGTCTGTCTCTCTCCCACCTCTCACTGCTGAGTGGTTCCTCAGATATGGCATCCTGATGTACGACTTCCTACTGAACTGTCGATGATTGCTATTGCCTTAGTGGGTTTTTTTCCTTTCTGGAATATTTATCTTTAAACAAGAAACAACTATCTCAACTCAAGGAATTTATTTACTAAAATTAAAATTAATAAATTATTCCTGGCGTCGGTTGCAGGCATGAGTGGCTGAGTGATTAAACTGGGGTTCCCAGTGCCCTTTAACTCACACTCATTCGTATGGTTTCACAGAACACTTGTTTTGCTCAGGCGTAAGGTCATGTCTGCTCTCTGACTCAGTACTGACCTGATTCTCAAGTCTTTCAAACCTTCCTCAGGGAATGCTTTCTTATGACGACTTAATACTTTAAAATGACATTTTGAGGTCTTTTCCAGGATCTAGGAATGGTGGCCAAAGACAAGATCAGCTGGAAGCTCTAAAGCTGTGCTTTTTCACCCTGTAAGAACTCTCAAACTTTGAGTTCAAGGCTGTCTCTGCAATAATGGCTTATACTTCTCTTTAGAAGAATGCAAGAGAGCTTTCAGATGAGCAGTTTCAGAGGCTTTTTAAAAAGAGTAAAACGGGAGGAATGAGTCACCATGGCTGGGTGAGCCATTTATAATCTCACTCATTCTGGTCAGCTGCCTCAGTTTACTCATCCACAAAAGGGGATACAATTTGAATCTACTTTGTCAGGTTTTGGTGATGATTAAATGAAATAAGGTGTGGAAAAGAACTTGTCATAGAGCAGACGTATAGAGCCCAGAGCTTCAGCGTGTCTCTGCAAGAGAAGCCCTCATGGGCAAGCTAGACACTCATTCGGGTTTCATCTGAGGAGCTCTGTGGTGTGTGAGTTTTACTGGAATGTCCCACAGCCTTTGCTCCTTAATGCTGGCTGGCCGGTGGTCTCATTAGATTGTGCACCTGGGCTCCGCAGTAGTCTCCATGGAAACCATCAGTGCTCAGCTTCCCTGCTTTTCAGATGTTTAGGTCTTCCTAAACCAGACACGGCAGCCCTGTCTCCAAGAACTGTTTTGAACTGTTTGGAAGCACCCTCTTAGCTGCTGCCTCATGGCCCTGTGATAGAGAAAAAAGAATCTGGTGGATTGAACACTCAGAACAGGATTCAGTTGGGGAAATGACTGATCTGGCATTTTTATTTTTATGTAGCTTCTTTAGAGCTCTGTTTCCTTATTTGTAGAGGAAAGGATTGGACTAAAAGTTTTTGAAATCCTCCTTAGCAGAAAAAAATTCTAGTTACTATATTCGAAATGACGGAAGAGGTTGCAATCATTTGGACATCTGCTACTAAATTTAGGGACTTAGTCTCCCCTAATGAATTTCAGACTACAAATAGAGTGTACGGTTCTCCTTCCCCTTGAAACTGCCTCTCAAATGCATCATCAACAGATTCTGATACAGAGCCTTAGAAACCTCACATTTCATCTTTTTTGCTGATTGTCCACTCAGCTCCTTGCAGCACCATGAAAGATCAGGATTCTTTTAGGAAGGCGAGACAGTTGCATATTATTGAATTGGCAGCGCACAATGAATGCATTTGTTAAGTGTTGGAGAGATGCTATTGGAAAGGGTGACCGAATTCCAGGGAGAATGTAAGCACACTTCCTAAATATACAAACAACTGATCCTGCAGCAGTTTGCTTGCTGCATATAAAGTTTTGGTAGAAAATCTCAAAGTTTTCTGCCACTGATTTAAACTACATTTAAAAGTCCAATTATGTTCAGGTGGCTATTTGAGAAGTGAAAATTGTATAAACTAACAAAGCTTGGGGTTGTGAATTTTTAGTTTTCATGGGGGAAAGTTTATGTATTTCATCTGCTCAATGAGTGTTAAGCCCTTCTCTTGATCTGTTATGCTTTCCCTCAGCTCTTGGGAAGAGAGGATTTACTGTGGAGTAAAAATGAAATCTAAAGTTGGCCTGCCAGGCATGGTGGCTCACACCTGTAATCCTAGCACTTTGGGAGGCTGAGGTGGGTGGATCACCTGAGGTCAGGAGTTCAAGACCATCCAGGCCAAGATGGTAAAACCCTGTCTGTACTAAAAATACAAAAATTAGCAGGGCATGGTGGTGCGTGCCTGTAATCCCAGCTACTCGGGAGGTGGAGGCATGAGAATTGCTTGAACCCAGGAGGTGGAGGTTGCAGTGAGTTGAGATTGTGCCACTGTACTCCATCCTGGATGACAGAGTGAGACCCTGTATCTATCAATCAATCAGTAAAATAAATATAAAGGTGGTCTTCTAGATGCCTGAATCCTGAGGTGACCCTGGTTTGGGTCCTTCCAACACATCCCAGGTCTGATCCTCATTTTAAAGAATTGCTGAGGGGTATTGGATTACTTAGAAATGCTTTTGGTTGCAGAGTAATAAAATGCATGACTATTGGAGTTTTTATGACTTGAATAAATAAAAATTCTTTCTTCTCCTCTGGAGTTCAGAACTAACTGAAATGGAGGAGTCAGATGGAGATCAAATTACTAGCTTTATTACTTATAAGCTAATCAGAGAATATAGCTTTAGCTTTGTTTCTGAAAGGGCTTATAGTCACTTTACCCTGAATTAGGACTTTGCTGCTGCATTAGTTTTTCTATTGCTGTGTAATATATGACTACAAACATAGAAGCTTAAAACAACACTTTTAAATGGCCTTCTTGCACCACCACTTAGAATTTTAGTTTATTAAAATTAAACTTAGTTTAATTTTGCTCTCAGATGATGTTCAGAAACAAAGAAAAGGTAAAAGTAAAGGGGCCAAATTATTTGCAGATGTGTGTAATAACCAAACCTCAGGCAATCCACCCTCCTTGGCCTCCCAAAGTGCTGGGATTATAGGCGTGACCCACCATGCCAGGCCACACAAATTTTTTAAGCCAGGTGTGCAGACCAAATAAAATATTAAGCTAGATGTACAGAAAGAACCAAAAGTGAATTCACCAGAAAAGACATGCCACTAAGACAGAATGTAAATTCTGTAGAAACCAGAGTACTCAACGCAGAAGGATATTTTTCTACCAGAAAGTGCTTGCCAACAAATAAAAACCCCTCGTATAGACCCAAGAGGGATGAATAATTCTGTACTTAAGGCACCTTTCAGCCAAATCAAATCACATGTAAAGTCAAAAAGAACTCACCAAAGGGAGGGAGTCTGAGAATCTGAGAGTCACCCAGACAGAAGAAGGAGTGGACAGAAGCAGAGAGCAGAAAGGGCTCAGTCAGTACTGCACTCAGTTCCAGGGACCTCTCATTCCTCTAAGGTGCACTCACTTTGATCCCACTTCTGACACCATTTATGTCACCCTAAATAACATACAGAGAGAGGCTTATTGAAAGAAAATGATATTTACTTAGGAATGGGTGTTGCAGTGGTAACATACATGCCAGTTTAAACTATGTGTGCATTCAGGGAGGTAAAGCAAAAAAATAAATAAATAAATAAAAATAAAAATAAAATAAAATAAAGGGGGTTTTTAAAGGAAAAATGAGGAGGATTACATAATTGCTTTGAGCTAATTATCCTTGAGTACAAGGATCAATAACAAGGGTGATGCCAGTCCAAGGTTGGACAGGCAGTTGCTGGGTAGATGTCTTTGCAGACATACTTTTCTGCGTAAGGCGGTGATGGGTTTTGTGCAAGGTTGTAGTTTTTGCAGTCTTTTATGATAGCTCTTGTAATCAGGCATTTGTGCATGAGAACCCTTCCTTCCTGGCTTTCCCTGACTCTGTTTGTCAGGGTTTTAAACACAAGTAACCTCATTTTGATTCTGACAATTTTCACAGTCCCAACACTGATTAACAATGGGTTAAGAATTTGGACCCTATCTCACATAGCAAGAAGCCTGGAGGTACATTGACTCAGGCTTGTGCTATCAACTCCACAATGTCAGGTGTATCCAGATTTGTTACCTCTTTCTGCTCTGTTTTCCTTGGCATGGTGACTCTTCATCCTCAGACTTGTCACTCACATTGCAAGATGGCTGCTTCATGACCAAATAGCACGTTTTCACCCAACCTCATATCAGGAAATACAAAAGGAACTCCCTTAAAATTTTTCTATTTTAGAGCAGTTGCATATTCACAGCAAAATAGAGAGGAACGTACAGAGATATCCCATAACCCCTTGCCCCCACACATGCACAGCCTCCCTCATTATCAACATCCCCCACCAGACTAGTACATTTGTTACAATTTATGAACCTACATTGATGCATCATTATCACCTAGAGTCCATAGTTTACATTAGGGTTCATTCTTGGTGTTGTAGAGTCTATGAATTTGGACAAATTTGTAATGACATGCATCTACCATTATAGTATCATACATAATATTTCACTCTCCTAAAAATCCTCTGTACCCTGCTTGTTCTTCAATCCTGCTCTCCTAACCTTCGACAACTGCTCATGTTTTTATTATAGTTTTGCCTTTTCCAGAATATCATTGATACACTTTGGCTGTGTCCCCACCCAA